AGTCATTTATTCACAACTCCACAATACATGTTGACTTGTAAAACACTAATACAAATCAAATTAGCAACTAAATCCCTGTAATAATAATTAATAATATCTAAGGGCAAGATACGGATTAAAAATATTGTATGGAATGTAACACTTTCTATGTTCCACAATTATCATTTCAAATGCTTCTGAAAGCAGCTTTATTGCTTCTCTTCATTCAACTATTGCTTCTATTTTTTTTATGTCAGAAATAATACCCAGATTGCTTTTAGTCGTATTTTGCTTTTAGTACATTTTTGGAAAATCCTTCATGCCTTCATATATTGTATAGCTGCTTCTTGACTTTCCTACAACTAGTATAGAATTGTAAACCCCAATTACTGGTTTTAAAAACAAAGCCAACTATATTCCCTTACCGTTTTATAGGAAAATATTAAAAAATGGATCTGATTTTTAAAAGGGAAACCTGCTAGACTGAAAGCACAGGATGGTCATTCTTTCCACACTTCCCCTCAAGTCTGCATCTATTCTTCTTACATTCCCATGCTAGAGAACCAAATGGCTCTTCCCTTATCTGTAAACTCAGACTTCCTCTGGAGGATGAAAATAATTGCCAGGTGGTAACACAACTGCATCTCTTCTCCTTGGAAACTTTTTTTTTATAACTTCCCTGTTTTGCTGTCAGTTCCCCATGTGGCCTTGAATTTCTCCTTTTCTCGGGATGTTAAGAGCAACACATAAATATCTCTAAAAAGGACAGGCAAAAGTATTTGTAAACTAGAGCCATGAGATATTAAGAATGTTTACTGGGAAAACAGGATCCGTTTAGCATCACTTCAGATTGGGTCATATCTTCTCTTCCCTCCAATCTTTATACTTTTTCAGATAAGCATCTGAACTACTAAAATTATAGAGGGTTACAAGGAAAACCAATAGGATTTAGGACTTCTAAACAGAAAGTGACTAAGAAGATACAGGACCCATGTATATAAAATTATGCATAGTATGGAAAATATGAAGAAAAAGAAGTATTTGTCCCTCATGTGCATACTGATTTAGGGCCATCTATTAAAAATAAAATGTGAGATGGCTAAAATGAAGCACTTCTGTATTCAGTGCTTAGTTAAACTGTATTTTGATACCATGAGAGTTGGTGATGGCTACTAATGTAGGTAATGTAGGTACGAACCAGACACATTCATGGAGAAGCCCATTTGCATTGGCTACTAAGTCCATAATTGATTGACAATTAATTAAAAATTATTTTTGATTCCTAGTGACTACATACACTTTCTCCATGACAATCTATCTTTAATCTGATTTGAGTCCATCCACCTTGTTGCTGGTTGTCCTTTCCCAGAGAACAGGGTCTCTTTCTATAATGTATTCAAAGTAGGCCAAGTAGCCTGGGCATTTGTGTTTCATGTGAGAACTGTTCTGCTTGAGAGTTTTGCATATGTACATTTTTGGCATGAATGGTGTGTGTGTGTGTGTACGCGCGCGCTTTTATTTGTACATTAGACAGCTAGGTGGTGACATGATAATTGCTGTCTGCGTTTCCATGATAACCCTTTTCCTCAATTTAATACGTGAGTGAAGTTCACTAACTAATACTTTTTGACTCATCTGTATTCTTTCCATTGTGGCAGTCTCCCAGTCTCAGTCTTTGGTTTTTGTTTTTGTATCACATAACAAATGCTTTAGTCATGATGTTGTGTCACAAGCGGCTGTATATGCATGCCCTGTCAACCAGGATAAGCTTCTTTATAATAAACAACATTCAGGAGGACTTATTTGTTTGTTTGTTCATTCGTTCATTCATTTATAATATTTAGTTTATTCAAAGAAAATTAAAATGCAAAACACTGAAATATATAAAAACAAAAGAAAAAAACACAACAAACAAGACATTAAAAAGAAGTGTCTTTGAAAAAAAAAAGACTTAACACATATACACGTAGAAGCCTCTCTAGTTGAATGTTCTTTAATATAATACAACAATGTTAGTTTCCTACCCCCTGAAAAACAGGCCAAAAGAATTTTAAACTACCTATTAAAATACTTAATCAGTTTACAAATGGCTAGATTGTCATCTATATACTATATAAATAACAGTATAGTTAACAGGAAAAACAATAATAATAAACATATATAAAAGTAATAAAATCATTAGTAATAATAAAAGAGAGACAAGATTGAAATTCCAAAACCCTCTGTTAACAAACTCTTATTGAAATCAACTCATAGAAAATTTACCATGGCTTCAATCCCAGATCATCCCCAAAATTAACCCTAATTGGTTCCAGATCAAATATCCATGTTTTTTTTTCTTAAGGCTATCTCTTATCAATTGCTGATTGATTAAATATAATAATTGGTCTCCAAAACCAATCTATCTTCTCCCCAAAAAGCCAGATTCACAATTAAATGTAATAAATTCATGCCCCACTCTCCTTCTAATCCCCTAAAAAGGACCTAATCTACCCCTTTCTACCCAGACAGTTCTCTACTATTATATAAAAACATAAGGATTAAACTTAAACTAAAAATAAAAACTAGACACAAGATAAAAGACATAAATAAAATACTATGAAAAACCAAACACTGCAACTTAATTAAAAGATGGGGAGGGCACAACAGGGTGAGGAAGGAAGAGGCGGGATCTCTTGCTAACCTATCAATCACCTCCACTGTGATGCTCCCCCATTGGAGCCCCACGCTAACTGGCAGGGCCAGGTCTTTAGGGAATATCAGGAGGGTTGGAACCAGCCTCACTCTTGGGAACAAGATGTTCCAAAGGGCAAGCACAACGACAGAAAAGGCTCCTCTCCTGGACCGCACCAGGTTCCCATTTCATGTCCAAACTTGCTTAGCTTTAGTGGCAAGAGACTCCAGGTGCATGTGACTGGCTCTCATAAATTATCTCCCACACCAGTAATAACGTCAAGATAAAGGGAAATAATCACACTAGTCCCATCCACCAGTCAAAGTTAAAACAATCTGTAGGTGTAGGAGCTTTAGAGCTAAGGGCCACACCAATCAGAAAAGGGAACAAGAGCCTAGCAACTGCTATTCAAGCAGGAAATATCATTATGACCTGAACAGCATAAAACATTGGCTTTGTTTTCACTTTCTAAAGCCTGATCTTCCCCTTCATTTTCCCCCCTTCCCTTTTTTGCTTGTATACTTAGTCATGGTATATAATCTTGCCCTCCCCACCGTTACCACACCATGATATCATTATAGTGAATAAACTATATGTAAATATAAACTATATGTAACTGGACTTCTTTTCATTTTATCTCCTGCCTTTAATTTATTTTACCGATTGTAGGACTTCTTCCCCCTTTTCTGCACTGAGCACAATGTTGTGCATCTTGAAAGGGAATAGAATGGATAGGGATGCTGGTATGCATGAGTTCTTTTGGGAGAATACAATAGGAAGTCCTACAGACCAATTAAAAAAAAAACCTTGGTCTTCAATTTATTTTTTTTAGTCTCATGAGCAAACTTGAATTTAAACTAGAAGGCATCAGATTCCTCTTTGAGAATGTTTCCTATATTATACTTGAATACATTTTGCAGATTTCATAGGGGAACTACAGCTCTGACTCCTTGATCTTTGTAAATTTCAGTTGACCTTTTGTTAGCAAGCTAGAGACAAAAAAAGGAGTTGCACATGTGGAAAAGTGGAAGTGGGTATGAAACTTAATAGTAGAGAACATATACAAGATGACAAAGTCTTTGCTCACATGAAAGATGAATAATGGTTTAAATCTTATGTGGTCCCTGCCACTGAGACTGAACAATATTAGTTAAGAGTTTAAAATGTTCACTATTAAATTGAAGGGGGAATGTAGATCTCTCCAGATACTGTTGAATTAGTCCTACAGGCCAATGGTTAAGTGGGATTCAGTAAATGGCAGCCCAGCCACTTCTACAAAGTTTCCAATTCTATCTCTTGAAAGGGATGAACGAACAGGATTACTCATGGCTTGATTCACCATAGCCTTGTCTAAAGGTTACATGTTGCTCACTGGGTGAATTATCCAATAGCAAAGGAGTGTGGCAGCATAAAAAGGGGGAGGAAAATAGAATCATAGAAGGACAGAGTTGGAAGGGACCTTTGAGGTCATTTAGTCCAACCCTCTGCTCAAACAGCCCTAACCCTATACAATTTGAGCCAAATGGTTGTCCAATCTCTTCTAAAAAGCCTCCAGTGACAAAGCAGCATTGATGAGGCCTTGGGATTTCATTAGCAGCAGATTCACTTTCCAGCAATGCCCAAGCGCAGGATGCGTCTGATCCCATTTAGTGCAACCCATGGAAGTCTAACTGGTCAAGATGGCACCCATGACCCCATGTGGAAATTTGCAACCAAAAGCATGAAGATCTAAAAGAGCTCTTCTTGGGCTCCCTTTCCTCTAAAAATCAGAAGCATTTTGTCCTGATATGAGACTGAAAATATGTCTGCTATTGTTACCTGTAGTCCAAGTTATGGGAGGATAACTTCCATTTCAGGTCATCCTCAGGGGCTGCCACAAAGAAGAGGGAGTCAAGCTATTTCCCAAAGCACCTGAGGGCAGGACAAGAAGCAATGGGTGGAAACTAATCAACGGAGAGAAGCAACTTAGAACTAAGGAGAAATTTCCTAACAGTTAGAACAATCAACCAGTGGAACAACTTGCCTCCAGAGATTGTGAATGCTCCAAAACTGGAAGTTTTAAAGAAAAGATTGGATAACCATTAGTCCGAAGTGGTGTAGGGTTTCCTGCCTAAGCAGGGGGTTGGACTAGAAGACCTCCAAGGTCCCTTTCAACTCTGTTTATTCTATTCTATTCTATTCATCCTCACAGGGCAGAAAGTTAAGTTCCTCAACTGAGGTTGACTTTAAACTGAAAACAGAGAAGTGAATGGAGTGTAAGTGAAGCTAAGAGGCTGTTGCTTAATTTGCATAGTGGTCACAAAGGGACATAGTTATAAATTCTACCTTTTTTTGGCAGCGTGATTGCAAAGGAGAGAGAAGTTCATCACACTGCATTCTCTTTTGGCAAAGCTTAAAAGATGCTGCATTTTTTTCTGTTTCTGCTCTTTTTTGGCCAGGTTGTTCAGAGCCTAAGAATCTGCTCTTTCAACGTGAGATCATTTGGAGAATCTAAGAGAAGAAACTCAGAAATCATAGAGGTTATTGTAGAGGTATGTAATTCACTCTTGGGGTTGAGTTAATTAAATGGGGGAGGGGCTTTCAACTCAATGATTACATATTAATATAGATGAATTTAGAGTAATGTGTATTTGAGTGTTAATAAATCTGTGATTTTAGCAACAAACCTACCCCAGAAAGTCAGCACCAGATCAAAACTACGTGGATAACAAGACTTTAATTGCAAATGCTGTTGTTAAAAACTATGTAAGCTTATGGAAATATTTGATTTCTTAGGGAAAAATCATTATTTGCCAATGTCTCCTCAGATATTGCCACTTTTAATTAGTTTAATTGCCACTATAAAATACCTCCGAAGTCATTAAGAAAAAATTATCATGACAAAAAGTGCCATTGGGGGAAAAAGAAAAGAGTTGAATACACTAGATACCATTCAAAGGTTTGGATAGGAGCAGGTTAACATAGTATTTTATTCTCACATTGCAATGACTTCTCTTTGGAATCATTTTGTGTTTCTCTGGAAAAGTAGAATGCAGCTTCTTTCCATGGTTTTTCTTTGCTAGTAAATAATGAATTTCAAATCTCTAATACTAATAAAATATGCTGTTGTGTATATAATTCTCTTGATGCAGGCTCATTGTTGTGATGTTTTAAAGGGTGGCCCAAAATGTTCATTTACAGAATGAATTTATTTGGCTATTCAGCAAACAGTAAGTCAATATTTGGATTTAGGCAGATTTAAAATACTACTATGGATCTTTAGTCATTAATAGAGCAGCAATCCTGTACGTGTGTATATGTGTTTAAATTTAGAGAGATAGACTACAGTATTGTCATTTGTTTAATAATGGTAAGGCTGCCCCATTAAAATAAGGCACCTCTGGTGGTATCAACAACAGCAAACAAATAACCCAGCCAAAAAAACACAAAGCATTAATGCATATACAATTATATGATTGTTAATCGAAATGTAAAGGCCTTCATGATCACTAATTATGAAAGAATCCCAAGAAAGAGGAACCAAAAGCCCACACAGTAGTTAAATATGTCACCAGCTTGGTCCAGAGTATACAATTATGTACTTATAATTTACGTTTTATGTATAGATTGCACACTCAATGCTAGCTGGTTCGACCAACTCTCTTCATACTCTACATAAATGACCTCTATGATCACATTAAGAGCAACTGCGTTCTCTTCGCTGATGATGTAAAGCTGTTCAATACAACAGACAATACTGCTACCCTTCAAAAATATCTTGACTATGTATCAGAATGATCAAACAAATGGCAACTTCAAATCTCAACAAATAAATGCTCTGTCTTACATATTGGCAAAAAAAAAATATCAGAAAATAAAATACAAGCTGAATAGTCAAGACCTTGTTGATGATCCAAGTTCTGTAAAGGACCTTGGAATACTCATCTCTAATGATCTAAGTGCTAGAGCCCACTGTAACTACATAGCCAAAAAGGCATTAAGAGTTGTTAACCTCATCCTACATAGCTTTTTCTCTGGTAATATCACACTACTAACTAGAGCATACAAAACATTTGCTAGACCAATACTGGAATACAGTTCATCAGTCTGGAACCCACATTATGTATCTGATATAAGCACAATTGAGAAAGTCCAGAAATATTTCACAAGAAGAGTTCTCCACTCCTCTACTCGTTGTAGAATATCTTATGCCACCAGACTTGAAATTCTAGACCTAGAAAACCTTGAATTACACCGTCTTCGGTCTAATCTAAGTATGGTATATAAAATCATACATTGCAATGACTTACCTGTCAATGAATACTTCAGCTTCAACCATAACAACACAAGAGCACACAATAGATACAAACTCAAGGTTAACCTCACCAAACTTGATTGCAGGAAATACAACTTCAGCAACAGAGTGGTCAATGTCTGGAATACTCTACCTGACTCTGTGGTTTCTTCTCCAAACCCCAAAAACTTTAACCTTAGACTGTCTACTATTGACCTCACCCCTTTCCTAAGAGGTCTGTAGGGGGCGTGCATAAACGCATCAACGTGCTTATCGTCCCTGTCCTATTGTTTCTTTTATTTTTCTTATATATACCCATTTCATGTATTCATAACTATGTATATACTTATACCTATTAGCTTGTAAGCGATTGACAAATCAAAATAAATAAAATAAATAAATAAAATAGCTATTGTATGCTGTATCCTGATTAGCAGCAGAATTTCAATCAAGGTTGATTCTTCATACCTACTAAGATTTTCTCAAAGTATATGTTCTAATATTAACTAAAAGGTCTTCTTAATACTACTCTTCATCTGGGATTAGTGATCTCAGTGGATCTTCTCCTAGTTTGTAATTCCTAAGCAGGAAAGACTGCTGAGTAGTTATCAATATAGGTGTCCCAATCACTGCTCCATGGAAATGCCTCTTAAGGCCTGGCAAAGGGTCAGCCAGGAGTTGTTACTTCTTCTAAGAAGCACAAAAAGGCAACTACTGTAAGGGAACATCTTCAGGAAAAGCTCTGAATAACAGGTTGTATAGGACCTGGTAAGCATTACAATTTTTAACCAATATGTCCCCTATATGTCATCTGTAACCATCACCACCACATAATCTCTTCATTGAAAGGGACATATTCTCAAAGGAAATGGGGTGGGGGTCATAGAGAACATTCATTGGTGAATGGGCAGCTTAGAAACTGAAATTATGAATAAATATAACTAAACGAACTCCAAAAATGCCTGCATTTCTCCACAAAAAAACGCAGTCAAGTTGCAGTATTGTGTTTTTTTTCAATGTCATTATTACTGCAATGTAACCATTAGGATCCTAATTAAATTAGAGCTCTAATCAACAATTCTCATGGTATAACATGCCAAGCACAGAGCCTTTACAAACCTTTTTTGTTTGCTCCTCAGATTATATCTCGCTGTGATATCATGCTACTAATGGAAATAAAGGACAACAGGAACAGAATATGCCCTTTTCTATTAGAGAAACTAAATGGGTAAGATGCAGAAATGAAGATTTATTAAAACTGGCAGGGTTGGATGCAGATTTGGCTGAGATTGGATAAAATATTTGGAATGGAGCCACTAATTAGAGTAAATATTTCCTTATTGCTCTCTTGGAAGAAAGAAGAGAAAAAGACAGGAAATATATGTTTGATATATAGGTGGAGGGTGAAATGTATACAAGTCACAAAACCAATATTGATCAAAGATGATCAGAATGAAATATTAGTCTGTACCATGCACATTTTAAACTTTATTTATTTATTTATTTATTTATTTATTGAATTTATATTGTTGCCTATTCGCTCATGCCAAGCAGTTTTTACCTTAACTATATTTATAATATTTATAACTATAATGTTTATAACTAAAGCTATATTTATGACCATAATTATAAATATTTAATTTGATGAAAAACTATAAATGAATACAATAAATGTGCAAAGAGTAAGGTTGGATCTGATAGTAACATAAGAAAGGAACCATTATTGTGAGGTGTTGTGTATTTCTTCATACCTCCCTCCAAAGGAGTCCTTTAAATTATCATAGATGGACATAAATGCAGCCCTCATATAGAGATCTGAGTAAAGGAGTACAAATATAGTTGAACATAACACTGTAAAAATGCACATAAGAATACATTTATATCAAGTGAAATGAAATGTACACATACAGATTTAAAGCATTAAGTGCATAATATCTAGCAGGTACAACATTCAGTTTTAAAATAAAATAAAAACATTTTCTTGTTTTTTCCAGCTTTTCTTAAAAGACTGCTGCAATTTGTAAATTGACCAAAGTGGAGATTTTTTAAATTAATTTTTTTCCTTCCCTGAGCTACTTTCCTTTTCAGTGGCTAATCTTTTGTAAGTCCATCATGCAAGGTTCCTTTGTTTTTCCAGTCACTTGAGTTTACAAGACTTTACTCCCAGCTCCCAAGCACACAGGAAAAGCAGGTGGCTCAGGAAAAGAAAAATAATATTTAAAAACATGGATCAAATTTGAAACTCGAGCTGTTCTTCACCACACACAAGTGCTATAACCACTATGCCACTGAGGATGACCTAGAGCAGGGGTCTTCAAACTTGACAGCTTTAAGACTTGTGGATTTCAATTCCCAGAATTCCTCCTCCAGTCATGTTAGCTCAGGAATTCTGGGAGCTGAAGTCCACGAGTCTTAAATTTGCCAAGTTTGAAGATCCTTGACCTAGAGCAAAAGCTGCAGCAGATCTTCTTGAAGAGCAGGTGGGGGGAAGGCATTCCTGCCTTTGCACAAGAGCTAAAAAAGTATCTGGCAAAAGGGTTGGGGGGGGTGTTCCCTAAAAGATAATAAACTACTGCCCTACTTACACTGGTACAAGCCAGAAAAGGCTACTTTGGACAGGGAGCAGAAGAACAGAAATTATATTTGTGGTGGGCTAAAAGGAGGGGAGCTGACAATGTGCCTTCCTGCTCTCCCTAAACTGTTGGGGGCAGTGCAGATATGCCCACCTGGATCTGAGAGATTAAAAATCAGATTCATTTTTCTTCCCAGACGGTCAGAACGAGCATACAGTTATGTGGTCAGTAACCGATTAGGAAGAAGGCATTACAAGGAGCAATATGCTTTTTTCTACAGGTATGTTGATTTCATCATTTCATTCAATATAGAAGATATTATTCAGAAACTGTGAGGGAAAAAATTGCAGAGGCCTACAGCTACAGAAGTGGTTGTCTGTCTGTCTGTCTATGAAGGTGAAGGTTTGTTCTTTGAGCTTGTGGGTTGGTTTCCAAACGTTTCGTTACCAGGCTAAGTAACATTTTCAGTGGAGTTTAGGGGATGTCAAGGTCAGTGTTCTTCTGTTTATAAGGGCTTCAGGCATGGGTGTGTCAAGTGAGGGTCTTGTGATGGGCCTTGTGATAAGGAGATTACATCAGGTCAGGATCATTGGGAGGTAAACTGCTGGTGGGGAGGTTGCGTAGGTTGGTTGAAGGTCGGCACTGTCTCTGGTTAGCTGGGTTTGGATTCTAAGGGCTTCGTAGGTTGATTGTAGGTCAATGTGTCTGTTGAGGGAATTGCTTGTAGAGTACCACACCAGAAGTCCTTGTAAGCAGAACACTGACATTGGCATCCCCTAAACTCTGCTGAATATGTTACTTAGCCTGATAATGAAACATTTGAAAACCAACCCACATACTCAGAGAATGAACCTTCACCTTCATTCTACACCTGAGCTATTAGTTATTCGCCACTATTGCTATCTATCTATATCTATCTATTCTGTCTCTGCCTCTGTCTTTCTCTCTCTCTCTCTCTCTCTCTCTCTATCTATCTATCTATCTATCTATCTATCTATCATCTATCCATCTATCATCTATCTATCTCTATCTACTATCTACAAATATACAAATATAGACAAATAAAATGCAATAATAAGCCAAGTTGTTAAAACAGTATAAATCAAATAAAAACATGGGAGGAAAATTGAATTTCTGTTAACGCACCATGCTCTCAGAGGAACAAAAAAGAAACATCATTGTCGGTAGCAGAATCTAGCACATCTGCAGTTGCTAAGATAGGGAAGGTATAAAAAGCTACTGTACTTAGCAACAATAGCTAATGACTACTGACTATAAACTTCTTGAAAAGAAAGTTGGAAGTGGTGCCATAGGAGGATGTGAAAACCTAGATATTCATTAGATGGCAAGAAAAAAACCTTCTGGGTTTTCACAACTCAAACATAACAACTCTAAGCCAGTTAATAATGAACAAGTAACATTGTGAATGGGTTCTGTGAATATTAAATCACAAACTATCCAGCCAATTTAGCCTAGGCTCAAGTGCCCATGTGCATCAGCCCCTCAGATATTAGATCTAATTATACCAAATATTTTTGCTAACCTAATTTAATTAGATGTTAAGTCCTATTGAATTCAATTATTTTAGGATTGTAAGTTAACCATACAAAGATTTTTTGTTACCTATTTTTTTATTCTGTAAGTCCTATTGGCCACCTTAAATTGAAAAGACAGCATTAAAATCATCAACATTAACATGTCCACCCTTGAAACAGTAACCTTCTACTAATACGTTAATTTACACTGTAGGTTGGATAGCGTCTGTGTGAAGCAAGTCTATCAGTATCCTGATCTACAGCCAGGTGATGAAGATGCCTTTTCCAGAGAACCTTTTGTTGTTTTGTTCAACTCTCCAAGAACAGGTTAGATACAGTTAATGTACTTTGTCCTTCCCGTTTAAAGGTTGAAAGTCAGAAGAAATGGGATCCTTGGAGAAGCCTGAGATCTGGAATATCCGGAAATATCCCTGATCTTTAAAGCTAAGAGCTCTTCTAACCAATATCTGTTTGGCAAACCACCAACGTTCCCACAGGCCCTATCCCAAAACCCAAAGAAGGGCCTTTTTTTCCAACCTGGTTTTAATGAGGTGTTTAAGCAGTGGAGGGATTCAAAAAAAATTCACTACCTGTTCTGTGGGCATGGCATGGTGGGTGTGGCATGGTGTGGTGGGTGTGGCTTGGTGGGCATGGCAGGGGAAGGATACTGTAAAATCTCCATTCTCACCCCACTCCAGGGAAAGGATATTGCAAAATCTCCATTCCCTCCTAACCCCACTAACCTGCTTTCTAGCTCCGTTCTCCTGTGCAGGGCAACAAAAGACCCAGCCGATCAGCTGGGACTCGGGAGGTAGAGAATAGATGGGGGTGGGGCCAGTCAGAGGTGGTATTTGCCGTTTCTCCGAACTACTCAAAATTTCCGCTACCGGTTCTCCAGACCTGGTCAGAACCTGCTGAATACCATCTCTTTGTTTAAGGATAGGGATAGGGGTCTTCCAAGAGACAAATACTCACTCTTGAGCCTCAAGAGTGTGTCCAAATTGCGGAAACTACCTCATTTCAGTAGGGTGATCTTGAGGTGCTTGGCAGAAATCAATGTGTACATGTGGAGAGGGAGGATTCTATGCAGCCCAGAGGTTATTGCATTAACATGGTGTTTAGACCAGTCTGATGCATCTGCTATGGTCACTATTATTCCAGCAAGCACAATTGATATAATCACAAGTTTTTTTAAAGGGCTTTAAGGTGCCAAAAGAAAGATCAAGCCAAAAACACCTCAGTTGGTCCACACACTTAAGGCATGTATGTCCCTGCACTTTAGAAGGCAATACAGGCAATTGTTGACTTATGACTGTAATTGTGCCTGGCAATTATGGTTGAAAGTTTTGACAATTCTAAAGCGGGTCATCATATGATCAGACCCAATTTTATGACCTTTCTTGCAGCAGTGGTTAAGTGAACATGGCAGTCATTAAGCAAACCCAGTGATTGCTATGGACCGGTTTTTGCCAGAAACCAGAAGTAAACATCAATTTCCAACAAAATTGTGGTAAATTACGGTCATATGGCCATGAGGCAATGCAAATGGCTGTATATGTGGGTCAGTTGTTGAGTGTCCAAAAGAAACTTTGAAACCAGATCATACATAGCTTTGGGGAGATCTGTCACCAAACGACTAGTCGTAGGTTGACGATTATCCATACTATATCCAAAAATAACGATAGACCTACTATTGGGTAAATTGAAGCAGCAACTATCAGTGTTCCAGAAAAACAAACACCAACACCAAAACTCTGAGACAGGCATTTTCTCAAAGTTCCATTTTATTAGAATTGTCATACTGGCTCATCTGGGAAAACCCGAATTTGGGAGTTCCGAGTTTTCCCCCAACAATTGAAAATCAAAAACCCATCGCCTGCACCCCACAGTCCATCACATGGCCCAATCACCATCCATCCCAACTGGAGACAATCCTCTAAACCACTCCTCAACCAGGTGCCATGACCTTGACTGAAAAGAAGAATGCTATTATGTCTAACTACATCCACTCTATGAAATCCCCCCTCCCAATTTCCCAGGCACAGGAATGTGGCAGCATGGAAGCTTCTGGTGCTAATATGACTTCCAAGGCTGACAGGAGCTTTGAAAAGCAGATCAGGAGAATGGCAAATTGAAGTGAAGCCCTTTGCATTGTTCTCAAGTAATTCAGCAGCCATTTCATTGCACCAAAGACTCCATTTTCCAGAATAGACTGCCCCTCTAACTGACCACTCTCTAGCTGTTGCTCTACATAGACAACTTGCAACTGGGGTTGTTTCTGTTTCCATTTCAAAGATACCCAGTTGCATGAAGTGGTGCTACTGCATCAAGGAAGGTGGTGTGGTAGGAGGAGTGCTGGAGCTTTCTCCTGACTCAGGTGGTGGGACATCATGGGACATCTCTGCAGAACAGCTGAATGAAACTCTTGTCACAACAGGCTGAACTGCTTTCTTTCCCCTTTTACAACCCTACTTGTCTCACCAGCTGCCAGTTTAAAAGTAATTCTTCAGTGTAGAAAGGATGGGACAGTGAGACTGGAAAATCAGAAAGAAAGTAATTGGCAGGGCCACAAAAAGTTTATTTTGTTTTTGCAAATTATCTCTGGGTTCAAGTCCATGAAAATTAAATGTCTGATTCTTCAGTCTGTGAGTTTAAAAATGCCAATAATCCATCCTTTTTCTTCTCTTTGTTGGTTAAGCGGTCATGGAATTTGTGATCATCCCAATACACACAATGCCTGAAATGGCTGTACGAGAAATCGATGAACTCTACGATGTGTTTCTGGATGTCAAGTTGCGCTGGAACACTAAGGTTAGTCAAGGCCAGCTCAACAGAGTGAGCCAATATTCTCTCACGTGTGTATTATGTACTGTATTTAGCAGCTCTATCTGAATATATGTATCTCATTTTTAAAAGAATTTCATATTTATGGGAGACTTCAATGCTGGCTGTGACTATGTGGCAAAGAAGCAGTGGAAAAATATCCGATTACGAAATCAGACTGACTTTGTTTGGATAATTGATGATAAAAGCGACACAACTGTGAAATCAACAACACACTGCCCCTATGACAGGTAATGTTTCAGGCTGACTCATTCGATTCCATTCAGTTCATCTACTAATACTACCTATTATTTGCCGTATGAAAAGAACCTGTCCTGTGAGATTGGCAAAGCTCTAGCTGATTTCATCGCAGGAGATGAAGACAACATGAAAATAGTGAGAATCAAGCTAGCTAACTTATATATAAGGCAGGAATAGACAATCTATAGTCCCAGATTGCCTGCAGCCCCCAGTTTTGGCCTCCCATTCTCTCTTTGACTATCAAAAGTGGTTGGCATGGTAACCCATCATTCTGAAGCAAGGAACACTAAAACTATATGCACCCTAAAAGTCTTCATGCAACAAAGTGTTTTACACACACACACACACACTCAAGAAAACTTTGGAAATCTCTGCTTTTTAATCCATGTTCTTCACATCATTGTTTCAACCATTTAATATGGCCTGTCTTCCCTACTTGGACTGTTTTGGTGGATAAGTCCCATCCTTCGTGAGAAGGTTTCAACCAGGATCATACTCACTTACAGTATGGTAGCCTCTCCCACCAATTGAGTTAGACCAAGATATGGAGGCCAGCTGGCTGGCTGGCCATAATTCAACCTTTCCCAACTGGTAGCATGCATCCTCTCGTGGCATAAGTATGTCTAGGTGAGAGCAGGTTGGCTCAGAGGTCTAAATGGTGGAACTATTCCAATGCTACTTGGTCTAATGAGAGAAAACTATGTAGGGTGAGAAGGTTGGTCACCAATCAGCTTCTTAGCAAGTAAATTTGTATTGTGTCTTGTGATACAGCAAAATGGAACTAAAGCTGCCAGCTTTGGCTGAAAGAACTTTTCTGATTTTCAGAAAGAAAACTTTGTACCTTTATTAAATCTACTACCTAGAATAAGCTATCTAGATATTGTCTTCCTTGATCTTTCTTTGGAACATGGTTCTAGTACCGTATTTGCCGGCGTATAAGACGACCCGGCGTATAAGACGACCCCCCACCACCACCGGAAACGCCCTCCAGAAATCCCCGGGGCTGCAGCGGCAGGGCAGAGTGCCAGGGGCCGTGGGAAGAACAGGAAGGCTGCAGCCTCGGGCGGAGCGAGGCGAGCGGGATGAAGCGGAAGCGACGCAGGGGATCCAGGAAGCCAGAGGCGCCTTCGCTGCGTCCAACAAGCATCCGAAAGCCGGCAGTGGATATACCGGCGTATAAGACGACCCCCCCACTTGGAGGCATGTTTTTTGGGGCAAAAAAGTCGTCTTATACGCCGGCAAATACGGTACATATATGTCCCCTGGATCAGGTTACATAGCAAAGGGTATTTCCATCTGGTTGCATAGCAGAGGGTATTTCCATCTGGTTGCATAGCGGAGGGTATTTCCATCTGGT